CATGAAAGAAGGAGGCAGAATCAACCAACCTCTCCGCGTGCCCAAATCATGCACTGATAAATCCCGTCCGAAATAAATATCTGCTCCGATAGACCCGAAGCTCTAGCGAAATAAGGTTTTCTTCCCCATAATAGTGGTTTTCTCTTCGTGCTCTAGCGAGATCCAGAGAATTCTGGGTTCTTTGCTCGCGTGCGTGTGATCGATTTGGGAAAGCTTTTTTCACCAGAATCTGAAATCTTCAGAGAAGAGAGCTGCCAGATATTATAGCTTCTCTAGAATTGCCAAAAAATATTTTCAATAGAAGATATTATTGCCTCGTAACCGTGACGTGGTGAGATTCTAGTCGCGTCGTGGCTCTTCTCGCGCCAGGGATGAAGACACATGTCGCGTGAAGCTTCCCGGGCCGTTCCAGCCCGATTTCCAAATTTGGGTCTCGCACATGGAGCTTTCCCAAAGCTCGAGGTTAAATTACGATTTTGCCATCGTTGAGTTATTAGCATGCCTAGTGTCCTTGTCGAGTGGAAATGCACTGGAGCATGCCACGTGTCCAAGGGCCAATAAGGTTATGGAATGTGCTAGAGCCGAAACGGGATAACCCTTTTGGTTTTGATTCTCTTTGGGCCGGATATCATCCGTGAAGCTTGAATTTTTAAATTCCGAAAAAATGTTAGAATTTTATTTTAAATATTGAAATTTTAGTTTTGTATTTATTTATAACATTATATGTTTTATTTTAATTTAATTACAAACGAGTCTGCGCTTGCCAAGAACAAAAAATGGGTCAAATTAGGGGTATTTGGTCCACTAACAGATGAAATAAGGTATAATAGGACAGTTCTTTTAAAAATAATAATAAATTTACTTATTTTAAAATTTTACAAAAAAATTATATAAATTATTTAAATTAAAATTTTTTTTTTTATCAAAATAATATTAACAACTTATTCCAATATTATACTTTTTTATATAGTAATAAAATCAAACACCCCATTCGTTGGAGGAACTCAGTCCTTATAAAATTCTTTAGAAATGCGTCTTATATTTGATGATGAGATTTTATTTTTATTCATATTATATGATTTCATTGAATTGTGATAATAAGATAGAATGAGATAAAATTGTTTTATTTTATCATTCTCTCTCTATAATATTGTATAAGAATTCAAATAGAAAAATTAGGCAGTCTTACTTATTCTAGTTTATCACCCTAAATTAAATATTTTATCCTAGATTTTGTCTGAGATTATTTTATTAAGCTTGAACTGTGTTTTTTTATCCTTTTGGACTCCCTTACCCTTTTTCCTTCTCTTTTTTTCGCCCGTGTCAATGCCATTCACTTCCATTTGTATCTCTAACCATCGTATGTCTCCCTTCTCCCAAATTTGCCTATGTTTCAATCCCAGTCATCAATTCCTCCCGATTTTATCTATGTTTCAGTCATTGGTCATCCCCCGTTGCCGATCTATAAACCCTCGTGAGTCCCCAACTCGATTTTGTTTGTCTTCCCCCTTCACGAGTTGCAACTCAGTCTTCCATCTCGTAGCAGATTTGCAAAAATCTGGCCTTTCCCTTGTTGACGACGAGCTTCCTTGCAAATCTACAAAACTCCCAGATTGATCTACAAAAATGACAATTGGAAAGGACAAACAAAAATTGGTCTGCAAAAGCTAAGGATCAAGATGGTCGGGAAGGAGTAAAAGAAGTCGATCTACAAGGCTGAGACCTTGCTCTCCACCTTCGACTGGCATTGCCGGTCAAATCTATTCCCCGTTTTTGACTGACACAAGGCGTATATGGTATTTTCATAATTTAATTTGTTATCCTTTTTTCTATTTATATGGAGTTAAAAAGTAATGTACGAGAGATAAAGAATAACAAGGATAAGTTTATTGGTGGGCATAAGAATTTTATTTTCTCATCCCATATTCTATATTTCAAAGCCAACATAACATATAATGTTAAAAAATATTATTAAGAGATAAATTTATTTTATTAAAAATGAAATTGTGATACATATTTTTTAAATTTACTTTTACATATAAAAATATTATAAATTGTAAATAAAAATAAAAATTTATACAGTATTATATATATGTGTGTATATATAATATACGTATTTATTAAAAAACTAAAATATTAAATATTTATTAAGATGACCCAGAAGCACAATTGAACTACGGGAGTGTTTGCAAATGCTTTTTACTTGTTGACAAGTAGTGCTTTAAATAGAAGTAGGTAAAATCAGATTATAATCAGAAGTAGGGAGTGTTTGTAAAATGTATAAAAAAAAGTGATTAAAATTAGTAAAGAAATGTTTGGAAGATATTTTATGAAGTGATTGTAAAGAAATTATTAGAATATAATTTTTATATAATTTTTATTATTATTACCATTTTTTTTCTCTCGTCTCTCCTGTCCCACTACTCGCGCGCCCGCCTGATCAATGGCGCTCGTTGCCGGCGCGTAGCGGCGACGGGCCCTGTCACTGCTTGTAACGGCAACGGAGACCTCCCAGTTGCCACTGGCAAGAGAGGTGCCTGCACCCGGGCCGGATAAGAGTCTGGGAGGAGCCGAAGGGAATCCAAACGGGAGGGAGGGATGATCTGAGAAGTATAAATCAGAATTAAGAAAAGTATTAGAGAACAAAAATATAAAAATAATTATAAAATAACTTTTATTTAATTATAAATTTATTATTAAAATCAAAGGTGTCCCAGCCCCTACTTAAAAAACTTGTGCTTTCCTCTACTTAATTTAAATAACTAGAAACTAAAATTACCATTTCAAATACTCCACAAATGCTTTTGCACCCTGGGAAGTGTAGCACTTCCCAGTAAGCGGTTGCAAACACCGCTGACTATTGTGGTCCGAAGTTGTTGCAGCCTGGAGCTGTGCATGTGTGCCACGTGGTGCCCCGTGTGGGGAGATAACGAAGCAACGTTTGTTCTTGACGTGTAAATTAAGATATCATCGCCGTCATCAGTTTCCGTGCTCGGAGTCAGCGGACGCAGCTATTTAATTATAAGACACTCTTAACAACTGCCTCTCTCCTCGCCGGTCAAACTTCTCCTTTTCAAATGGGTTCCTTACGAATGGCTTTACTCTTCTGTTCAGGACAATTTCTTTTAGTATTTCTGTGCCTTCTCATCTAATTGGGTGAATTTTTACGAATTATCCTTTAGTATTTCCTTATTATACTTTAAATTTTTATTTAAAAAATTATAAGATTAGATCATAACGATTATAATGTAAAGCAGCTTTAAAAAAATTATTATGTTAAACATAGAAATTTCATAATTTTTAAATATTAAAAATATCAAAAGTCTATATCTTAAATTTTAAAAAAATTTAAAAATCCTTAAATGTCAAACATACAGAAGCATCCATAATTCTTATAATTAATTATTTTTTTGTTATATTAAAAATTTAGACATAAGTTATGAGAGGGCAAATGGTTAGAAATCTAATTTCTGACCTCTAATTAAAGCTTATAAATATTATAACATTCTGAGCTAAACCTGAAGTTTTCTGAGTAACTAAATTCTGTTTTCATGTCTGCATGGTATATTATGATTTCTGTTGGGCCTTCGAGCCCGTGGCCTTGTTACTTTTGGGAAGAAAGAACTGCCCTTCCTCAGGAATTTGTAAGGCCCGAGTCAGCCCAGAAGGCCCAGACTTCTTTCTTCTTTCTTTCTTTCTTTTTTTCAAGTTTTCTTATACTCATTAATATGAGTGAGTATAAAACATCAATTTCGATCTGCTCACTTGCACATATCTGTAACTCACCAGTTTATATTAATTTTTACTCTATAATATTTTAAAATTTTATAATCCGTCTATAATTCGATTTGGTGACGGGTTAAATTTTAAAAATTCATTAATACCTCACCTATCTACCATCTATATACATTATATTAATTTTTAATACCATTTATTAAATTTATTTATCATTTTTTGATGGCTGCAACTATCACTTACTTATATGTGATCATATCTCTATTTTCTATAAGTATATCCTTCTTTTTTTATAATAATCAAATAATTTGAGCTATTGTCATCACTTTTTTAACTACTCTCACCTGCAAATACAAACTCATCTAGTTAATTCCATATTTGGAAAATCTAACAGTTCACAATTTTTGCAATTAAAAGTTCTATTATATTTAGTAAGGATAACTTATAATTAATAACCATTTCATTTTACATCATAAAACTTTAGTTATTTCAATTAAAGATTTATATTTTTAATCAAATTACAATTTAGACAATTAATATATTCTATTAAAAAGTTGCATTTGCATTTATTTAAAGAAAAATTATTGTATTTTATACATTTTATTTTGTAATCTATAATTTAAAATTAATTTTATTTTACTAATCAAATTTTAATTTAACTGTAATCTGACTAATAATAAAGACTACTTTGTAACAAAGATATATAAAAGTCTTTTTAAGATTAATGATTTTAATAAACTAATCCGTCAACTCGCCGTGAAATTGCCCATATTTGATCAATCCAAATCATAAGATTAAAAAAGATAATAAGGTAAGTACTGGCTGAAATTTTTATCACTCTGCTCATGTGGGATCAAGCTACTCTCACCCCTATTCATTAACGTTTTATAATTCCGCAATCTATGCAAAAACAGAGTGATGAATATGACAAAATTTTCAGACACTGAAAAAGAATTCATTCATTGCATCTGGAAACATACATTTATATAAGCCCATAATCCAGAAACACGTCGGGTCAAATCCAGAGCTCAATGGCATTCGGTGTTTTCCAATGGCACCATCTCTCCTTGACCCGCTTTAGGACCAATGTAAATAACAAACAACTAACACTCCCCATTGCACTTGGGGGAAAAAATTACACTAAATACACTCAGTTTATAATCACTAGAGTGGCAAATTATATATTGAAACCCATCTGGCCACCTGTATCCGGGGCAATTGCTCGATCCAATCTCGACGATGGGAAGAACCGGCCCGTTTAAGTCCTAACACACGGGGAGATCCAGAGGAGGCTGCTCAAGGGACTCCAACTCTCCGATTCCGTTATCGACGATGAACGCCATGGCCAGTCCCCAGGTTATGTGAACGTCCAAGTGGCAGTGCATTATCCAAACCCCTGTTTTTCCAAACAATTAATTGAGTGCAGGGTTAGATAAGAAATCTAATTTTAGTTGCGTCAGTATTGTTTTTGAGACTAATCTTTTAGCAAATGTTTAGTACCCGGATTATCGGCTACGAATCTGATGGCGGACCATCCGCCAACGGGGACGCTGGCGGTGTTTCTCATCGGAGGATCCACGAGGTTGAACTTTTTCGGGTCGGTGTTCGGGTTATAGTTCCCGAAACCCTCGGCAAGTATGTAGAAATCGTACCCGTGAAGATGGATCGGGTGGTTCTCGGCTGTAAAGATGCTGGTTCCCTGAAAAATTATCTGTACTCTGGCACCGTACTTGAGCCGGTAGAGTTTGGTCGCAGCCGTCGGCTGCCACAGAGCCCTGCTCACGTTGCCGGTGTAATCGAACTTCACTGGCGGCGCGGCTGGGAAATCTGTGGTGAAGACACCGGGAATGCCTTGGTGGTGCGCCTGGAGAAGGGACCAGTTGGAGGGAAGCACGAAGGACACGTTATTCATGCTAGCGGTGAACCGGGTTCCGTTCGGGCCCTGCGTGGCAAGATGAGTCGGGTCGTTAATATGACGTAATTAAATAAATATGAATTGAATTTAAGACATCCCATAACAAGGACAAATTGAACGTATGTCATCCCTACCTGGCAGCTTGAGGGGCTAGCGCCTTTGGGGCACCGGTTGAGCCCGAGTCCAACGGTGATGACGAGGCTCTCGTCAACGTCCTGAGGGACAGGGACCTTCTTGGGGCTCCGGAGGGCCGAAGTGAATGCGGTGGCAGTGGCAGTATCGTTGAACGCTGGCAGAGTGGCGGTCAACGGCTTGGCCGCCGGGCAGCCCTTAGCCGCGCAAGCGGCGGCCTTGTACTCGAGGATGGCGGTGGTGGTGGTGTTGTCAAAGGGGCGCCCTGGGCGCTGGCGTAGGCGCGGGCTGCAATGTGGTAGTGTGCCGGCGGCTGGTCGGCCTTGATGAGGACGTCGGTGGTCTGGCCGGCCCGAGCATGATTACGTTGGTGGTGAAAGGTTTTAGGTAGCCAGCATCGGCGCCCACCACGGTAAGCTTGTGGTTGGCAACGGTAAAGAAGAGCTGCTGGTTAAGGGCGGCGTTGATGATGCGGAGGAGATTGGTCTCGCCGGAGTCCACCGGAACTATCACGGTGTCTGCCATGTAAATGATATCCGTGTGTCATTTTCTGATTTTGTTTAAGTCGTGAATAAAAAAAAATCCTTTGGACATTTCTAGTAAATACAATATTTATACTTCAATGAATAGTAATTTTTATTTGTTTTTAAAATCATTTTTTGTTTTGGAAAAGAAAAAACTATTTGGCAGGTAATTTTAACCCGTTTTTAAAAATTTTTTTTACATGGCATCAAAATAATAAAATATTTAAATGTTTAGACCATGTTTGGATATGTTTCTGATAAAACACTTTTAGAAAACATATTCTTTTTGCTTTGAAACAAAAACATACTCTTTTATTTTCACATTTTTCTCATAGACTATTTTCTCTTAAAAATACAATTGACATGAAATAAGAAAATATTTTTAGATTTTTAACATTTTCTGTTTTCAAAAACATAAAAATTATGAATTTTTTCAGAACTTTTTAAAACCATAAAATTGATTTGAGTACGAACCCAAAAGTTCGTTTTATTTATTTATCTTTAAAAAGTTGTCAAATAAAATTAGGATTTTTTAACCAAAAATAATATAGAGAAGCAAACCTTGACTAGAGCACTTGTAAAAGTCACCGGGTTGCCCATTGATGGTATAAGCATCCGACACATTCGGAGACGCCCCGGTCCTCGTGGCCGTCCTCACCACACTAATGGGATCGGCGTCCCACCACTCACCTGAGCTCATTCAAAATGTCACACCATCAGCCATTTTATAGAGAGAGAAACAAGTAGTACATCTAGAGAGAGAAATCGGGTCCGGTCTGGGCAAGTACCTAGGAGTATGGGGGTTTCCCGGGCGGGCTTGGGAAACGGGTAGGAATCACCCTCTTTCGGGCGGATGATGAGAGCACCATAGACGGTGGCTCTGAGCCAGGAGCTGTGAGCATGCCACCAAAGTGTCCCCTCCTGACCTTGGATTGTGAATCGATATGTGTAGCTTCCTCCGGGTCGGATTGGGCACTGGGTTATGAACTCAGGCCCATCCGCCCACGCGGTTCTCATCTGACGGACCCCGTGCCTGAAGAATGAAAAATACGACAGTCACAAGAGAGCGAACGGAGTTACATAAGTCTCATGCATGAATACGAAAGACTTTTAAAAACTAAAAATATACCCAAAAAAATTAAAAGTAGGGATTTTCAACTCTCTTGGCTTAGTTAACAATTATTATTATTATTATTATTATTATTATTATTATTATTACCAGTGCATGGTGACGTTGTATTGAGCTCTGTTGATGACTTTGATCTCCAGGGTGTCGCCGTTGTTGATCTCCAGAGTGGGCCCTGGATACTGTCCATTCACCGTGACGGTGGAGTGGTATTGCACAGCCTCTTCACTGGCGTTGCTTGAATCTGTATGGTTATAAATCAATCCTCTTGACGTTTATGCTGAAAGTATACCAATTTACTCACAAAACATTTTCGTCGGATACTGAAGTGGTTGTTTGGTCAAATCAAAAAAGGAAAAAAGTTCAAGCTTTTTTTTTAAAGTCCTTCTTCTTCTACGAGATTTTGATTCGACACTAGAAAAAGCCCGGCAATTTCCAGAAAGAAAAAGTCCGAAAGTCTCGAATCGGAAATGCCGGGCTTTTGGACTTTTTCAAGTAGTCACTTTTAAAAGTTGGTTCTTTTTGCAAGTGAGCAAATATCCGAAACGAAAAAGTGGGTTTTCTTTTATTTCAAATAATAAGCTAAAGAAAGCGATGCTCTCCTGTTATGCAACAGAATATCATCTGAACTGAATAACCATTCAGGAGAGAAAGGAAGAAGACGTACGACAAACTCGTGGACGTGAACCTTTGCATGGGTGAGCAAGGGCAACGCATTGGCAAGGAGAAGCAGAAACCCGAGGAGGAACCAATTGGCCGAGACTTCCATCTCCGCTTAGAACTGAAGGAACTTGCTTAACAAAAGTGGGTTATGCTGATAATGCTTGATTATGAGAGTTAGTGAAGTGGAGGGTGGAGGGGGTTCCTTATATAGGAGAAGAGAGGAGAGAGATGGGGTGGTTCTAAGTAGGCAGATTAGGTTTTGATTAAAGCATCGAGTAGAGGAGAGCTTAGTTCAACCCTATTAGTAGTTGGTGCACCCACTGGTCCGTCAAAAGCAAGTTAATTTTCATAAATATTGCTTGCCTCTCACGTTTTCTCTTCCTGTTGGGACTTTGATTTCAAAAGGGCTATCATTGTCTCAAGATTTCCCTTTTTCTAATTGGCGCTTTTGGAAATTAATAAAACCCGAAAGCTTTAAACAATTTGCCATGCTCTGCATCTATCTTAAATATTAATTCTCACCCCACTAAACCAAATACGTTTGAATTTGTCCAATTTCCACAAGCTTTCAAACTAATTAAACCCTTTTGGGCATGTTTGAAATGGTTTGAAGAAAATATGATTGTATAATGTAGAAAGTTTGGGAGTGGTGTAATTAAAATTAAGTTTGAAAAAAAATAATAAAAATGAGTTTGAGAAAGTGAGATTTAAAACTTGATTTCTTGAAACTCATCTTAAAAGATAAATTTTAAGGAAATTTTCTAATTTTTAGATTTGGAAAACCCATTAATTGAATTTTAAAAAAACCCCAATTTGAGAGAAATCAAATAGAAACTTGGAAAATTCAATTTTTGAAATTCGATGTCCTAAAAAACCTTGCATTTGATTTCTGGGTTTTTAAAAAACTCAGTTTCTCAAAATATAAATTAATAAGGGTAAATTGAGTTTAAAGAAACTAAATTTTTCCAAACATAATATTAAAAACGAAACCTTTGTGAGACGGTTGTCAACATCATGTTGAAGGGTGATTTCACTTTGAAAGGACCACTTAGACGCATGTAGATAATATCTTCGTTTGAAAATTGTCTATTTCTTATTTAAGTAATTTAAATTATTTATTTAATATAAATAATTCAAAATTTTTATATTGTCATATTAAATTATTAACTTTAAATTCTATTAAACAAATTTAAACTATTTAATATTATATTTATTGCTTTGAATAAATGCATCGATATCCCCCGTCTCACTCACATATTGAGATACAACTCCTCTTTCCATCCCATGCATGCATGAATAGAATAAGCAACTCTACATTGATATAACAATTACTTAGTCATGTCATGATTTTGATGTTTCAATTTATCAAATTTATGCTTATGCCCAAATGTGGCATATTGATCTCCTTTTCAGTTTCTAGGAGTTCAGTTCAAATAAAGGTGGACTTTTTGTTTTTAAATTTTTTTCACAAGTTGGGTACATATAAATTCAAAAAATACAAGTTTTTTGTAAAAATAAATTAATGGATATATATATATATATATTAGATTTATGTGTATATAATATATTTAATTTTTTTTACATGGAAAAAATTGAACTCATAAATATTAACAAAAAAAAGGATTACCTATGAAATTACCCTTTTGGACATATGCATATACATATATGTAAAATTTTTGTTTTCTTTATATATATACTTATGGGGACAGGTGGAGTCGTTCCATAACAACCTTATCAAATCACATTGATTTTCTCTAGGTCTAGATGTCAATTGACAATAAATATATGTATTAGGTTGTATGATGGAGGACTTGAATAGGGCAAAAGGGATAACGCGGATTCCTTCCTTTTCTCTGCTTTGACCTTAATTTTCCTCTTGGTGTGGTGGGAAGGTGAAGCGAGGCACTCCAAAGTCCAAGGGATAGAGAAAAACCAAATCATCCTTTATAAAAAAATAATAAATTAATGTAATTAAAGTTTAACAAGGATCTAATTTTGTAATTATGGGTTAAATTAATAACCTCCCAAGTCAACAATTTTTAATTATTCACCGACTTGTCGACGCGGCACGGAAAGATAGATTGATAGATTAGTAGTATTTAAAAGAGAACTAGTTTGCTAATTGTGAACTAATATCTGTCCTTGAGGTTATTATTTATTAATGACTTATCTTTAATTATTCATCGACTTGTTGACGCGGCACGGAAAGATGGATTGATAGATTAGGAGTATTTAAAAGAGAACTAGTTTGCTAATTGTGAACTAATATCTGTCCTTGAGGTTATTATTTATTAATGACTTATCTTTCTTTACGCGGCTTACTTTAGGTTAATGTGGACTTAGGTGCCAAATATAATAATGTGTTTGGGACACTTGATTGGATTCAACAAGGTTTGGTTTCATAGTATAGACGCACAATACATATCAATAATAATTAGTTAGGTGGTTGTCCATTTAATTTAACTTTTTCAAATATTATAAATTTTTTTTAACTTTTTATGTGTTTGGTATGTTAGACTTCTTATGGCAGGTAATAAATCTTTATTAAGCCCCCCCCCCCTCTCTCTCTATCTCTCTATATATATAATTTTAAATTGGGAGACAGAATGGATCAGAAATTAATTCTTTATTTTTTATTAATTTAATAACCACTTTTTCACTAAAATTAATTATTTTCTTAATCAATTCAACTTAATGTTTTCTTGATTAAAATATATATACATATATGCAATCCTAAAGTTGAAATTTCCAGTGATCAATTAGGATAAATTAATTAACGGGATGATGATGTTACCTCATTGTATTTATGTCATATGATGTTTTACTAAATTAATAATAACCGAGAATGTAAAGTGAAAAGAGCCACACGTGCCGAAAGCAATTTCTCTGCATGCTAAAGTACGATTGATGAGGAATTGACGATGGGAACTTGCTTTTGAAAACATATGTTCTACAATTAAACGCCGGCATCCGCGGAGAAATTTAAGTGGTTCAACTGCTAAAAAACCAATCCCCATCAATAGTCGCCGTTTGTTGTTTGCTTTAAAAATCAAATGTTAGCGAGATTGGAACTTCCACAGGTTTAATGTCAAATTATTACTTGATTATAATTTTCTTCAAATTAAAGATTAATGATGCAATTAACCCCCTCCCCAAAGATAACCATCGTCGCTGTCAATTTGGTGGGGTTCAGACGCCTCGGACTTACGAATCCGTGGCTATTTTACATCAATAATAGATATTTTTTAATCATCAAATAGTAAGTGTGAAAATCTTCATTAAGTATGCAAATTTTGACTAATTTAAAAGAAAGTGCAACTAGATACAAGAATTGTTCGCTATGGAACTATTAGATTCGCAAGAGTTTTGTTCTTTTTGAACATCTTTTTAAACAATACGAATTTTTCTTGAATTGACTTTTATACAGAAATTGTTTCATAATAAATTGGCTTTTATATAAAATTTAGTTCATAATAAATTGACTTTTATCTTGTCAAACCAAGTTTTTAATTAGTTAAAAAATTACATATTTTAATAAATTTTTTTCAAATTTACTTATTTTAGTAAGTAAAAAATTATATTATTAATAAAAAAGAACCCGAATCCATTATTTAATTTATAAATTCAATTATCAATTAATTAACTCAGATCACATCCGTTTAGGTACGAGCCTCCACCAAACTACTTGTATTTTGGTCTAGCAAAAAACAAAAAGTACATAATTGAGTCTAGATATAATTAAAAATTATAATTAAGATGGGTTAAATTCAAATTTAAAATTGAGCCCACCTGTGTTTTAGCTTAAAAATAAGGGCAAAAGTTGAAAAAGTGAGGCTCATAATGAGGCTAAAATGGGCACAAGTTGGTTTTAGCTTTTTTCTTTTTGCAAATTATCTATTTTTAATAAATATTGATCTAATTAATCCAGCTTGTATGAGACCCATTTACACTCAATTTTTGAGAGCCTCAAATATATATATATATATATTTATAGAGAGAGAGAGGGGGGAGGGGGAGAGAGAGAGTGAGAGAGCATACTAAGACAATTAGAATATTGTAGAAAGCCAAGCGACATTGGTTCTTAATTAGAATGTTGAGTTAAACTAAGTGGTGTTCGTTAATCTTAAAATATACGATGGAAAGGGACAGTCGAGCTAAGAGGGCGTGAATATCAAAGTTGGTAAGTTTGTTACTAACTTTTCCGGACGATCTGGGCGGAGAAAGAACGAAATACTCAGGTCGTTAAGAGCAATAGACCAAAGTGACAAGTATGAAACTGACTCGAGAGCTGACAGTCTACCGCTTTTTACCCATCAAGGCTGTCCGGTGCATTCGCTGTCGCCTCTCTCTCTCTCTTGTTCTCACCGCATGTCTTGTCACTGTCTTGGGCTTTCTTCTTCAGCACTCTCCTCCCTGTCCAGCCATCCGTCAAAATCAGAGTCCGCTAATGGACTTTGATTTGGATTACTGACCTTCTGATCCCTACTCCTTGCTCAGTTGTTCTGGAAATTGTTTTATAAAAAACGTGTTTTCAGCATCAGTGTTTCGTTTTCTATGCTAAAAAGTTTAGGAGAGCCCAATTTTATTACAAGTTCGGTATGAAAAAAGAAGCTTGTCTGTTTGGTTTGTGAAAATATTTTCTATTTTTATTTTTTAAAAATATTTTTAATTTTTAGATTTTTCGTGTTTAGTTCGGTTTATTATTTTTTATTTTAAAAAAAAATCAAATAGTAAAAATGCACTTGGTTTAATCATTTTTAATAAAATGAAAGTTGAACTCAATTGAATAAAATTAGTGTTTTTAAGGTCTTTAGTAGGAGTTTAGTTTTAAAATTAAAAATTTTGAATGTTAAATCAAGTTACACAAAGTTCAGGGACCAAATTAAATAATAATAAAATGATACAGGACTAAAATGTAAGGAATCTTGCATTGTTTATCCTTCCGAAGAAAAAGGTTTTCTATCCTTTCAGTCAGCTTTCATCAATCTTTTTGCCACCCACTTGCTCCAGAATCGGTATCAAACAAAAGAGCGACGATGGACCGAAAGGCAAAAAAGCCTATTATCATTGTTGGCACCAATCATCAATGTCGAATTTCAATCAAGGCGGAGAAACAAAGCATCGCAGAGCCGATTGTTGTGGTCCACGAAATCCAGAAGCAAAAGTCTCAATCCCCTGTTGCTAAACATCGCCGACGACTCACCTTGCCTCACCGTTCTAACAATGCAAAGAAAAAGATTGCAGAGCATCCTTAGGGACAGGAAGAATCAGATAAGAAAGCAATAAAGAAGAACCTCGACAGAGAGCATAAACATAAAAACCAGAAGCTCGCAGAAATGCAGAGAAGCAAGAGAGAAGACGATCATAAACAAATAAGTGAAAGGAGAAGCCGCTCAATGATTTAGTACGACGGAAGAAAGCAACTTCGCAGCGATCGAGGAGGGAGATGACGGCCCACAAGTAGAAGGAAATGAAAACTTTGACAAATGAATTTATTTACGAAAATGCCGCTGCATTTTTATAATATTTAGTTTTCAGTCCATTTTTTTAGAAAATATTTTTTATAGAAAATATCCCGACCAAACTTATTTTCAAGGGGGGAAGTTTTTGAAAACAATTTGTAGCACTTTGAATATTTTTAAGTGATAATAACGGGATAATGTAAGTTTAAAGAGTCTTCTAATCTCCATGTAATAACATCATTATTGTGCAAATAATTTTGCTAAATCAAGGGGATTTTGCTCTTAATTACTCTGATAGATTTTCTTCAGCAGAATAATCACCATTTAGAACCCAAAAGGTTAGGCATAGACATTAATCCACAATAAGCCAATTAATTGAAATAATGAGTTTTTGAAGGAGCTTAATTTCTTCCAATATCCCAATTGGTGGTCAATGCAATAATTAACCCTTTCATTGATGGCAATAATGAAAAAACACATGCACCTGCCTGCTGTTGGGAGTTCTTCTGGACCGACCTGTCTGTTGAAAAGGGTTTGGGTTCTTACACCGAAAAATTTTATATTTAACTTTCCCTAATCACTTAAATAAAACAGAATTAAGAGCTATAATTATTACTAAATCAGATGATCTTGATCACCAATAATACTTGGTTTGACCATGTGATCATTTAATAGTAATTCAAATAGAAAATTGAAGAATTGTGTATGATGTGAATTAATAAAATAGTGGAAAATGGTAAATTACTCTTTCCTAATTCAAAATTTCAAATTATTTCCCCATAAAACAGAGAGAAAATCCTCTAAATTTCATGTAATGGAATATGGAAATTAGATATTGATTTTGTAAACATTACACATTAATTTAAATAATAAAATATTTTTAAATGTTAAATAAAGGTTAAAATTTCAATTTTGATCTTCCTTATCTTCCAATATTATCACAAAAGAAAAAGCATTACAATTGGTGGTTACAATAAGATTTGACTAGACATAAAGTTAAAGATAAAGCATACTACAAATGGTAGGACGTAAGCAAAATTGGTCTTTCGAAGAAATCCACAAGGTCAATCACCACTTTACGTGGTTGTCAATTCATCTTCAAATTTTATTGAAGTGTCGGTCCAAATTTTCAGAATTAAATTTAATTAAAGTATTTAGGAAATTAAACTTAGTTATAAATATTTATAATTAGAAATATGATAACTAAATATGGAATTAAGTAATATAATTCATTTAAGATTCGAATGTAAAATTTAATATAATTTTTATTACATTAATAATTTATATATAAAATATTAATAAATTTAAATTTTTAAAGATTAAATTAAAATTTAAAAAATTTAGAAATAAATATGATTGATAAAATATAATTGAGAAATTTGAATGAAAAAATAGTATTTTTTTATTAAATTGAATTTTTTATTAAATATTAAATTATTTATTAAATTTGTATATAAATAATTTATTAAATTTGAATTAAGATTTATCTGATTTTGTCCAGCAGCTCCGAGCTGTTAACAGTCCCACAACTTTCTACAGGAATTCCACGATTTTTTTTTCTATTTCATTTTTTTCTTATTGTTAACAGAGTCCATGAAAATTTGCGAAGCCTCAAAGGCAGATGGGCCGAGGCAGGGAGATTGGGCACGGACCCAAAAGTCGGCCCACATTCATTTACCAGCCTTGTCAATTTGGGCCCTTTGACATTTCAAGCACGCGGACCCTGGTCTCGGGCTGACCTTGGACCGAAAGTCTGGAGAACTTCACCTGGTCGTCTTCCCCTGACGGCACACTGCCCGTCCCGTTTCCCACGGCGTACGTTAGCTTCTACTCCGATAACAACTCTGATCTCTGCCCTCTTCCCGTCCAAAATCGAAAATGAGACAAGTTAAAATTATAAATTTGTCTTCAAATTTCTTTTATTTGATTCTGTTTCGGTGATTTCCGGCGAAACAGAAACACCGATGGGCTACGAGAACGATGACTCCGAACAGGCCCACAACGACGAATTGCCGGAAGAAATGGAGACTGTCGTCCTCGATGAGCCTTCCACCGCCACCATCAGCGAAGCTCTTTCCTCCGATTCTCCATCACGGGTCATGAGTTCTAGAATTCCTAACTCTTTCAACTCCTTCCTTCAAACCCCATCCTCCGCCGAAGCTGTCTTCAGATCCTTCGACGGAGATCACTCCCACGACGGCGAATTGAACGGCCACAATAGCTCTGGCGAAACTTCGACCTCGTCGGCATTGTCGACAACCGAGTATTTGAGAATTTCGGTCTCTGATCCGCAGAAAGAGCAAGATTTCGCGAACTCGCTCGTTCCCGGCGGAAACACTTATTACACGTACCTAGTCACGACACGGACGAACATACCGCAGTTCGGCGGATTCGAATTCAGCGTCCGGCGGCGGTTTAGAGAGTTTGTGACGTTGTCAGACCGATTATTGGAGGCGTATCGAGGGTTTTTTGTACCGGTTAGACCCGACAAGAGCATGGTGGAGGGCCAGGTGATGCAGAAGCAAGGATTTCTGGAGCAGAGGAGGGTGGAGTTGGAGAAGTACCTGAGCAGGCTCGCTGCTCATCCACTGATCAAAAGAAGTGACGAACTGAGATTGTTTTTGCAGGTGGAGTGGAAGTTTCCATTGGTTCAGACCAGGGATGTGGCTTCGAGGATGTTTGATGGGGCGGTGAAGCTTCCCCAGCAGCTGTTCAGAGAGACCGCCGGAGCTTTGGACCCGAAGGAGGCGAGTCAGCCTGCGAGAGTGGGGAGTGATTTGCTGAGGATCTTCAAGGAGTTGAGGCAGTCGGTTGCCAATGCTTGGGGGAAGAAGCCGGCGGTAGTGGAGGAAGATGAAGAGTTTTTGGATAAGAAAAAGAAGGTGCTATATTTAGAACAGCAGCTCAGTAATGTGTCCGTACAGGTCAGTTAGTAATAGTTAAGCACTTATGCTTCCACTTTTATACGGGTTACTTAAACTGTGATGAATGATTCACATGGTGGGTATAATTATATAGTAACCCGAATGGCTGAATGCTGTGGGAAAAGCAGCGGAAGCCCAATAGGGGATGTAATTAAACTTCTGAATCCTTGTGTCATCAATTATTGATGGCTAACCATGTGAATTGGGCTATTGAACAGCACATGCTTGGTTAAATTGTGTGAGGCAGATTGAAGATTCAGATTTTGGATCCTGAGTTTGGCATATTGCATGTCCAAAAACTTAATAATTCTAATTGAAAGTGGCTGTAAGATGAATTCATTGTTTGCAAAACATAATTTTGTAATTTGCATTTGTTTGCAGGCTGAATCGCTGGTCAAAGCTCAGCAGGACATGGGAGAGACAATGGGGGAATTGGGCATGGCATTTGTCAAACTAACAAACCTGGAGACCAAAGAAGCCACTTACGAATTTCAAATAGCAAGGGCTGCTGACATGAAATATGTGGCAACTGCTGCTGTGAAAGCTAGCAGATTGTATAGAGAGTTAAATGGACAGACTATCAAATACTTGGTAAAGTCGATAAACTTCCTATATTTATTTTATGAAATTTTGATATTTCTTTAGGTGCATCAGGTGTCTATGGTTTCCAGATAACTGTTCTATGCTTTGGAATTTTTTGGATATTCTCTGAAGATTTTAGGTTATGGTGAGTAAAGCTATTTTGGTCATGTTTGTCACTTGATTATGCAACATACATTGCAGGCTAAACTCCATGAATACCTTGAGTTGATGTTGGCCATCAACAATGCCTTTTTGGATAGATCAAATGCTTTGTTGACTTTACAGACCCTTTTGTCAGAGCTATCTTCCTTGAGTTCAAGGATTGAAAAGCTTGAAGCTGCTTCGTTGAAAGTATTTGGTGGAGACAGGTCAAAAATTCGCAAAATAGAAGAGTTGAAAGGAGCAATCACAGTTACTGAGGGTGCTAAAGATTGTGCTTTCAAAGAATATGAACAAATAAAGGTAAATCTTCTGTATCAATATTCTTAAACTAGTTGCACAACTGTATATTTCACCTTTTGATTTTGGAGGTCTATTTACTTATTATTAGCAGGATTTTAGAAATCCATCTCAGTTGCTGTTATGACCACAGTGATATATGAGCTCGTCACAGAAATTGTAAGTTGATAACTTTGTTGGCTATGTTGCAGGAGAACAATAAGAGTGAACTTGAAAGGCTAGACAAAGAGAAGCACAATGACTTCTTGGGCATGTTGAAAGGTCTTATAGTTAATCAGGTACTTTTCTCCTCTCTTGCTGTAACTTGTTTTATGAATTTTTAGATACTTTGCTGCATCTTGCCATAAGTCTTCTATATAAGCAGTTATAGTATCTTTATCTAGGGTAGATAACTCAAAGTTTTGACTGACTTGCTTCAGGGAAATAATCTTGGGCTTTGAGGATTAATGTGCACTAAAAAATTCCATTTGCTTGATTACAGAAAACAACATTGATGTGGGTGTAATTTGTTTTCTTTTTCCCCAAAATTCAACTAATATGCAACAATAGTAAATTACAAGATGGTGTATAGCTGTGAAGATTTCTCAGGAGGCGTATTTCCTGGCTTAATAGGTTACTGAACACACACATGCAAAAAACTGCACAACTTTCTGAATAGTGATGTAAACTTTTATGTTTGGTTTGCCAACTATGCTGGAAAATACTTTTTCTAGATGAACAGAATAAAAGCAGATTGCAGCATGCAGCATCTCATTTATTTTCTTCTTTAGAGATACGTTGGGAAATCCAAGCTATTAATTATACTTTTATACCTTCAATGTAATTATTGCCTCCCTCTTGAGTGTTCTTTTTCTATGTTCAATTTGTGACTTCTCCAAAATAGTGATCAGCTACTTACTGCATGTCAACAGGCCGGATATGCAGAGAAGATTGCGGGTGTGTGGGAAATGGTTGCAGAAGAAACTAGTGGATATGCTAAAGATAGTAGCTGATGCCCATCGCTGAGATTTTGTTTCTTTCGGCTTTACACAATTACACGCTCCTATTCTTTTATCTAAACAAACTAATCTGAGTAAAAGAAATACTGAAATATAGTTCACTTCAGCGTAGGTTTTTCTGTTTATTTGAGATAGGTGCACCAATTGTACATGTTCATACTTTAATTTTCAATGTGTTCATAAGTTGATCGAAACTTGAAAGACCTTTTACACTTTTTTACATTTTAAAAGCTTCCATTTTGGTTGGAATGGTAAATTGTAACGCAAAACCTAGAATTCAAAAATTGAATAAACCTCTGTCTTAGCCACCGACATACTAGAAAGTGAAAGTCCAGAATTCCCAAATCCTGGCATACCTTCTCAATCAAATTGTTCAAGGCACTGAACACTATTATTGCCAGACCTTTGTGGCCCCATTTTCGGGTCTAATCTCTTCTACTCGCTGGAGGACCTGCTCTACTTCCGGCCTTGCAGATGGTAAGAGATTGACACAATGCAAAGCCAGTTTCAGAGTCTCAATCAACTCATTTTGAACGACAGAAGTATGCTTCCTCAGTTTCGGATCAAACACTTCGTTTACCTTCCTCTCCTCCATTGCAGAGGCAACCCACCGAGGCAGATCCATCCCATTGTTCCTCGCCTCAGTGGGGGACTTCCCTGTCACAAGTTCTAGAACAATCACACCGAGACTGTACACATCAGTCTTCATGTTTGCGTTCTCGAGCCTGGAGAGCTCAGGTGCCCAGTACCCAAGGGCTTCTGCGGCCAAGATTGCATTAGCATTCGCTTCCCCCACCATGAGCCTCGAAAGGGCATAATCCGAAACTTTGGGATTCATCTGTTCATCGAGGAGGACATTGCTTGATGTGAGGTTCCCGTGAACTATCTTCACATGGGCATGAAGATAGAGCAAGCCTTGTGCAGTGCCCCGCACTATCTTCACCCTTGTCGGCCAATCAAGGGGCATGCCAGGCCGTTGAGCTGCAAAAATTCATCCAACTAAATCAGCCAACTTTCAGAGTAATGTCTGTTTGGGTATTTGTATTTGTGGTTTTCTGTTTTCAGTTCTCAGGTTCTATATCCTGTATTTTTTTCTAAACAGAAAAGACTGGATCTTGAAACATCGAGTAGGCCATTACTGTTTTCCTATCATTTTCATTTTCAAGCAAAAATAGTTTCACAGAATTCTGAAAATTGTTTTCAAAAATAGGCAACTTTTCTAAGAAAAAAAATCTCCTGAAAACAATTTTTGAGAAAAACCTGCCAAAGAGAGAAAATTGTTTCGCAAACAAATCCACACATGCGTATTGCGCTCACCATGGAGTAACCTTGCAAGACTCCCCCTAGGCATGAAGTCAAACACAAGAAGCTTATCTCCCCTTGGACCAAAGTAATAAGCCCTAAGAGCTAAGAGATTGGGATGTCTGATCTTGCCGAGAAGTTTGACCTCAGCTTCCAATTCCTTCCGGCTTTTAGTAAGCTTTGCTCTCAACCTCTTCACCGCAAGTTGCTTCCCGTCCTCCATTGTGGCCTTGTAAGCTGTCCCATAAGTGCTTTTCCCCAAAGCTTCTGCCATTGCTGAGAAAAGCCCCTCTTCAGTTAAAGCCACTGGTCCTTCAAACCGGACGAGCTTTCCTCCTGTCTCTCCACCACCTTCTCCACCCTTTTCAGGCCTTGCCCGACCGGCCTTTCCGCCAGGCTGGCTGTCCTTAACCTTGGACACGGCTGTTTTCCTCGTCAGGTAACAAAGTACAAGGAAACAAAGGACGACAACAATGAAAATCCCAAAACCTATGAAAATAATGTTTCTGGAATCATGCCTCCGGTGATGAGTTCGATTTGTTTCAGCAGAGCGTCCGGGGATATGAGCAGGAGATGCTGGAGGCGGACAAGGGGTTGAAGCAGTATACCCACATAAGTGGAGATTTCCCACAAAAGAGCTTGAATTGAACTTTTGGTAGAGGTGGGTAGGAACAGAACCTGAAAAATTATTATATGATGCATTGAAGTAAGCTAGTTTTGGTAAATCACCTAAAGAACTGGGTATTTCTCCACTAAGATTGTTATAGGCCAAATCAAGTTCGGTAAGTGATGAAATTCTTCCAAAAGTCGCCGGAATTTGGCCGGAGAGTCTGTTTCCTTGCAAGTTAAGAACTGAAAGTGAGCTTAAATTTGAGAGACTAACAGGTAAACTTCCATTAATACCAGCATTAGAAAGATCGAGAGTTGTGAGTTTATAAAGCCTCCCTATTTCACTCGGAATTGAGCCAAAAAGTGAATTAAAGCTAAGATTGAGCCCAGAAAGATTGGCAGAACCAAAAATCCCACCCGGGATTTCTCCGGTGAGCGAGTTGTTACTAAAGTCCAGCGTCTGAAGAAGAGGACACGACCCAAGTGAATGAGGGATCGAGCCAGAAAGTTTGTTGTTAAAAAGCTGAATTCCTCTGAGATTTCGGAGGAAGCCCAGAGATAGAGGGATTGGGCCTTGGAGGAGATTGTCATGGAGGCTAAGTTTTCGGAGAGCTTGAAACTGCCCAATGCTTTCACTGATTTTACCTCCAAGACCCTTCCATGGAAGCTGGATCACTATGACTTGGCCTTGGGCACACTTGACCCCAATCCATCCGCCGGAGCAGGCGCCCTCGCCGGAGTCGTTCCAGCTTTTGAGGAATCCTTCAGTGTCTATCAGTTCACGCTTGAAGGCTTGGAGGGACTGATAGTCGGATTGGGTGACCATTACTCCATCCCATTGGGCTGTGCAGATCAGAAGCTGGAAAAGCCAGATGAGTTGGGTTCGTAAAAGGAGTTTTTTTGTAGAACCAAAGAAGGAATGAGGACAGCATTGACTCTTATCTCTCGGAAACTGAAGGTTCTTAGATGGGTTTGCGAGGAAACTGTTGAAATTGGTGGTTTGAGTTTCCATGGAGTCTTTGGGTTGCAGAAAAATGAACAGAAAGAGGAGGAGGAAGAAGAAAGTTCAGAGGATCAGGTCATTGATTCCATTTCTTCTCCCATGAACTTTTGCTGTGTTTGAGCTGACCTGAACATGACTGGTATATTAAGGGAGACAAGGGAGTGAAAAGCTGAGATATGTGATGAAGTATGTTCCTGTGATGGATAGAGAGAGGGGGGTGGATAGTGGCCACTACAAACGAATATTGTTTTATGGGAAACATTCTAGTGTTTAGTTGATACTGTTTTTCTCCCATCCTTTTTGTTTTAAATTAATACTACTCTAGAGAGCCGACCAACATCAGAAATTCAGAGAGGTTCAAGAATACTTTTAGGCAACATTCAGGAATGCTTGTAGAATTGTTTTTATTTTTTTATTCTCCAAGGGAATTGGATTAATAAGTATTGCAAATTAAATAGGATTGCCCGACCATAAATCAAAAATAAAATAATAAATGGGATGATAATTTGAATTATTTATTAGAATTTTTTATTCAAAAGAAAAAAAATAAAAAGTAACCATATAATTTATTATGAAATGGACATTTTGTCTTTCTTTTAATAGACAACTCTTTATTTTTCTTCAGAAAAAGAATAAATTTTTAGAGATTGATAAATAAATAAAGAATTATCTTGATTTCTTTACAACATAGACTTTAGAGTAAGCTTCATAAATCCAAATGGGTAGTTTGGGTAATGATCAGCCACTTTCTAATGTTACGTTTGGTAGTAGAGATGATGGAGGGAATAACGTAAAGAGGGTAGAGAGATTAGGAAAGGGATTGAGTAATGATTATGTGTTTGGTTGAGAGACAGAAAAGGATTGTGAGAGATTTAATTTTCGTTTTCGAGTTTGGAGTTTATCAAATCCTTTCGCATTATTGCATTATTAACCTTTTTAATTGGCCGGGCCATAGATGGTAACCCCTTTTAGTGGGGCTACGGCAGCGTGGTCCTCGACGGCTACGTCCGGCCATACGGCTTTAAAAGACACCGCTGGGTTAGAAGTCACTTCTAGGCCTTGTTTGGTTATTTGAAAGTTAAGAATTTTAAATCAAGTTTCCTTTTTCAAAAAAATTAAATTAAAATTTTTTAAGATTAATCGTTTACTTTTTTCAAAAAAAAAAAAGGCTCATGATTATTTTTTCTAAAAAATATTAAAATTTAAAATCTATCCAACCAAACATCTCTCGAGTTGGCTTTGCCACTTGTCTTGAAAAGTGCCCTTCTGTGCGCCCATGGTACAAGGTCCCCGCTTGAGCTGATGGATTGCTGTGGGTGCTTAATTATTCGGGTTTGATCCGCGTTGTGTTGTCAAAAAAGTAAAAAAAAATTTAAAAAAAGAACATTGATGAACATAAGAAACTTCAAGAATCCAAAGTTTAATATAAATGGGATTTATCATTTTCACTTCCACTCGAAATGTCAATTTTACATAATTGTTTTTAAGAAAAAAAAAACAAAGAAAGAAAAATATGTTCCTAAGCAGTGCATACATGGATTCATAGTTTTGATATATTTTTAAAATGCCAAGTCATATAACTTCCTTAATTTTATACATGATTCAATTCGCTCAATTCAAGTTATTTAAGAGTTTCAAATAATAAGAAACATAAATGAATAGATAAATAAGATATTTAGTTAGTGTCCCTCTCTTTAGAAAATTAGCCAACGAGGTGTATAATTTTTTTAACTTATATTTTAATCTGTCCTTCTTAACTTATTTAATATGAGATTCATGACACCTATAGATTTAAATTTCCCTCAAGCTAATCTCTTAATGGTCAGTATTCAAACACTCTTGTTCCAACAACCATGGGGGCATGACTCTCTCTAATTCTTGATATCCTTACCAAGATGAGCTCGTGACCTCTTATTGCTCTACCTACCTCCGGAGCGGTTACTATTCAAACACTCTTGTTCCAACTCTTATTGCTCTACCTACCTCCGGAGCGGTTACTATTCAAATACTCTTGTTCCAACGGCTACGGGGGCATGACTTTCACTTTTTCTATTTAATTCTTGATATTCTCGTCAAGATGAGCTTGTGACCTTTATTACTCTACCTACCTCCCTAAAACATTTAGCATAAATGTCACCGCCATCGGACTTGTTCCCAAGAAATTAGATTTAATACTATTTTGTCACATGGACCATTACTTTCTCCTCCTAAAACTTAAAAATATTTTACTGGTCTGATAAATATACCCGTTTATATCACAATCCACCTTTTCACCTATCTAGTGTCAGATCCATGAGACACTTGGTTTGAACTTCCCTCAAACCAAACCTTGTTCAAACGGCCTCGTTTAGACAGCCATGGGGACATGACAATAGTCTTTAAATTTATCATTTCTACTAAAAGAAATAAATGAATTACTTTATATTATTTAATACAAAATTTTAATTTTTCTACATTATTTCTTGCCAATATAAACCATGTCAAGTTAATTTCTGTTACTGTACAGGACATTGAATAGTTAAAGAAGCACTATTGAAGGCATCTTCACATTTATGGGGGCATTCGGATTGGAGGATAGGATATAGTGTGATAAAATAAAATTGGATAAATTTATCCGGATTGAAAAGGTTTATTACACGTTTGGTTTAACAGATAACAATTGAGATAAAATTTTTGAAAAGTAGGATAAAATTTTAAATTTACCAAAAAGCCCTTTCTTATATGGGTTAAAAAAAAAACAAACAAACCCAGATCCAGCTAGCCCGCCAATCGGATCGCACGATGGAGTCAGCTGGCCCGCCATCTGCGTCATCCGTGGCGGCCCAGTCATCGTCCTCCCTCTACATCATCGGCGGTGGTCTAGTCGTCGTCCGTCCAGCCAGATCGGTTGTTTGGTGTCCTCGTCAGGCAACAAGCGTCGGTGATCGTCATCGTCGTCCTCTACGACCCCACAAGCATCGTCGTCAGCCACGAGCGTCGGTAGCCCAGTCGTCGTCCTCCCTCTACGTCGTCGTCGATGGCCTAGTCGTCGTCCTTCCAACCGGATCGGTTGTCTGGTGTCCTCGTCTGCGACCCAGTCGTCGTCGTTGTCGTCGGGCCACAAGCATCAGCGGGAGTGGTCGTCGTCCTCCTTCTGTGTCTCGTCCTCCCTCTGTGTCTCGTCGTTCTCTCTCTGCCCCGACTCCCTTTGGTTTCACAACATGATGCTAGAGAACGGGTAAGGGTATTGTTGTCCAAAATTAAACCTTGTTAGAGGGGACAAATTTTATCCCCCGAACCGCAGAATACATTATCCGGTCAACACAGATACATATCTTTATCTGGTTCTGTTACACATCAACCAAATGCGTGATAAGGCTGATAAAATTATCTTTCTATGCCTTGTCAGCCCTACCGAACAAGGTTATGGGATTGCATTCACAAGAATGAACAAATATCATCAATTTTGTAATGATTTTTTTTTTTTTTTTATAGTTTTTGGAATCATAAGGTACAGAGTTCACATAATCTACCTCTGCAGTAAGGGTAAGATTGCGTATACTTGATAGGCTCCAAATGATCCAGTCCCTTCTAACCATTGGGATCAAATGACAGTAGTTTATTTTTATCCCTCAATCTTCATCATTGATTCGAGACACTTGGATTCGACTCCTCATTCATCCTGTCTACAAGCTTCTGTTTAACCTTTCCAAAAGCGACTTCTAGATTCATCATCTGTAACATGATTTTTCATTTCAACTACAGTTATATGCAGGACCAATTTCATAAATCAAATTAATCATTTTGAACGATAAGAATCAGTCCCATGCATACCTCTTGCTGAGCGAATCTGTTATAGATGAATAACCCACTAAACAAATCGAAACTGTCTTCCATTGTGCTGTCTTTCTGCCAAGAATCCCACGTTAGTGTACTTCATCTTCATGTAAACAAGGTTTTGTTTGGTGGCCCAGAAGAATAAATGGAAATGGAAAAGGAAATATGTCCAACCATGTGTTCAGTCTTCAACACCACCACCACAGCCCCCCCCCCTCCAAAAAAACAAAAAAACAAAAAAGCCAGCAAATAAAGTCAAGGATTTATGAGAATGGAGGAGGATATGAAATGCCAAGCATTACCAATTTAACCAATGTCTGAAAGTTCTTGGTGTCAATAGAGGTGGAGCCAATCTCCATCTCCGACAAGATCCTGACAGAACAACAAAATTTAAGTCCCAGGACAAAGGATTCATATCTTACATGACTAGGCAGGAAATATTGTAATACCTTCCAATTGTGTGAGAAAGGAATTGACTTCTCGCAGCCAATTTGTCGTGCTCCTCACAAGAAAGTTCCAACATTTTGCATCCCTGAAATGAACTATTAAACAAGTGAACGAGGAAATTTAATTAAAAAGCAAGAATATAATCTCCATTCAAGAGAAGCTGACATGGCATATCACATAGTTTAAGCTCAGAAATAGAAGATGGCAGATGGGTGGATGTCCAACACTGGTTTATTGGCCTAGTGGTGTTGGATTGTGGAAAAGATGGAATCATTTGTTGAATGATTTCTATTTTTCAAAAATTTTAATAATCAAAATTTCTAAGGCAGTATTTGGAACTTGGACGTGTTAAGGAGAAGAAAATATATTATGAGGAGCTAAATTATGTTCCATTTTCTAGTTGGGTGCGAAAACGGGGAGACAATGAATTAATATACTCAAATCAACTCATTAAATCCTCATCCCGACTACATAGAGTTGGCTACCTAGATTCTCCGATTCCATTTTCAGTTAAATTACGATTGATCATGTCTACCTTCGAAAAAACAATTTCTTATTGATTAACAAGAATAAACAAATGAAGATATCCAAGCAATTTCATCTCCCTCCATTTTCTTTTCACTCCTCAAATCAATGAGCAAATACAGCATAAAGGTAGAAGAGGAGACACGCTGATTCAGGTTGCAATGGTAGTTAATTCTCCTGACAATATTATCAGAGGTTAAACTTCTCCTGCCAACATTATCAGAACACCAGATACTTCAATGGGTTTGAATAAATTTGTGAAAACCATCCTGCATGTAGACCCCTCATTCTTAATATAATCGTTCTGAAATATGATATAAAGAATCGGGAATATGTTTAGATCGTGGTCACGGAGACAGGCAGACATTTTAAAGACTCCACCACGGTCGTGAGATATGAAGGTGGAACATTGTCTCCTGTTTAAAAAGGAAAATGATGGGGCTAGACATCACAAAAAGTGTTTACATATAGGCTTTATCATTCATTGCTGCATATTTTCAAAAACCTTTTGCTCTTCTCAAAATCTTTTGCCGTTCAGACCCCCACCCACCTCATCCATTCCTCCAATGTTCAACGTAACTGCCCAATACCAAAACTTGTACTAAATTCTACGTCGAACATTGAAATCACATTTTATTATTCCGAAGCCTGTAAAATATATGTCACCCACCTCGCTTTCAAAGATATGCAGGAAACTCGAGCACACAGCTTCTTCCCTTATTCGGACCCTGTCATACACAAAGGTGAGGCCTTCCCAGCCGTCTCGTCCGCTCTGAGGCCCAAACATTGGATGAGTGCAGAGGACGTCCGACTCCGGAGGCAGCACCTTCAAATCACACAACCAAAACAAGCTTAATCGTACCCAAATTGGTCACAATAATGATACTTCAAATTGGGGTTCGTTAGTTAATCTCCATACTTGCAGTAGAACTTCTCTTGGGTGTTCCTTGATGGAAAGTACGTCGACGAAGAGCGTTGGCCGTTTTAGGCGGTGGAAGGGCATGGATTTTACGACGTCTGCAAGGGAGAGGATCGAAGTGCATATCAGTATGACATCGTTGTCTGCTTCGAAGAACTCGCCCATGTCTCTGTCAATACGAAACAAAGCAATCTGTTAGATGGCCAGAGATTGTCTATCAATGTACAGAAAACATGTGCTTGTACCTGTAGAATGAGATATCTAGATGGGAACAGATGTGGGAGTAATCTGTGCGGGAAGTGGCAGTGATGGCGTGGCCCTGTTTCAATATGGTTTTCGAAAGGAACTGGGCGAAAGGGCCCAACCCTACAACGCCTATCTTCAGGGATCTTGCCGAGGAAGAAGACGGAGTAGACATTGTACAGAGAGAGGCAGAGAGACAGAGAGAGACGGGTGGGGAGAGGTGGCTTAAAATGAACGCAAAATTATGGAGGAAACACTGGCGTGACGGCCGATTCCCGCTTCATCCTTGTTCAAGTTGCCGTGCTTGATCGGAGCAAGCATCTTGCGAGGACCACAATTTTTGTCGACGGGACCAGATTTCGATTAGGTGTTCATCGTTGACTTTCATTGCACATGATAAGTTGGTTCTTGTTGTTTTCTTTAACACTCATTCTTTCAGATTTTTTAATTTGAAAAATTACTTAAATGTTTTAAGAAAACCAAATAATTTTAAAATCCTTACTGTTTATATAAATTAATACGTATACAACTTATTAATTTGAGCAATTTTAGGTAAATACAAAATATGCAATCTAGAAGTTTATGTTAGATATAAGGGTTTGTTCGGTAAATAAGATCGGATAAGGTAGGATAGGGTAGGTAGTTGGATAAATTATCCTAATTGTATAGTGATCTGGATAATTATTTTATTTAACAAAGGTGGTGGAAGTGGTAGTAGTAGAGGTAGTATTGTCCAAATAAGTTGGGTAGGGGTCGGATAGGTTCGAATAAAATTATCCTACCCCTTTCCCCAATATAATTTATCCGAATTTGACCATACTATTATCCAATTTCTCTCATGCCTGGACTTTATCCAATTCTACTTTATCCGATTTACCGAACATAAATCTGAATAGGATAAGAGTGGATAAATTATCTTTATCCACGCTTATCCGGTGCATCGAAATAATAAGAAGATAATGATAAAGTTTGTTCAAAAATTTAAAAAATATTTATTTTAAAATTAATTGGACAAGAAGGATAAGAAGATAAGAATAGAGTTTGTCCAAAAAATTAAAAGGTTTTTAGTTTAAAATTAATTGGTTTACATTTCAATCTTTTATATTAGATTATTTGTGCGAGTTACTACTTTTAAAGAAATATTAAAAATAATAATAAATAAATAAGTGATTAAAGTATAGAAATTAAGAATGTTTATGAATTTTATTAAAAATAGCAGAAGCTGAAAAATTATTATTTGATAAAATAGTTGTAATAATTATTTTATTATGTTAAAATATTTAAATTACTTATTATTTTAAAAGTAATATATATGGCTATAAAATAAATTTTCTTGTGTTGTAAGTGCAATTTTGAAATTGTTAAGATAAAAGAATAAATAAATTATTAATAATTTATATAATTATATTTACATAAGTTATTAATAATATTTAAAATCTAATTATTGACATTCTTCTTTTCAATATAATTTTACTTATTCTTAAAAATATTAGGATATATATGACTAACAAAAATTTTAATTATTCATAATTATGTCATTAATTACAAGAAGTTTGAGTTTAGATATGTCTACTTCTTGTTTTTTTTAATTGAAATTTAGGAAAAAATGTAGTACAAGAAGCACCAATACAAATAAGTAAAACTACTAAAAAAATAATTAAAAATAGAAATTTGTTGAAAAATAATTCATGCAAATAGACACATTGAGAGTTATTCTCACACCACTTTAAAAAAAAAAAAAAAGATTAGATAGGAGTAGAGATCATTAAATGTTTATCGATTGTTCAGTATAAGTTTAGTTTGAAAGAATTAAACTTTTTAAAAAGTATTAGTTATTACTACTGATTTATCTTTTCACACCTAATTCACCCTTTATAGCATTAAGAGTAATATGACCCAATAATTACGTGTAAAAAATTTTAAAAAATTAAAACTCATTGATTTGAACTTCTCAACTATTAACTGACTCAAAAAAAATTTGTTACCAAATACTCCAAGTCATAATATGATTTACCTCCGCACATTGGTTTTGACTTCAACTATTATATATATGTGTGTGTGTGTGTGTGTGTGTGTGTGTGTGTAGTGCTAATAAGTGAACATGAGGTTTACTTTTTTTCAACTATAATAATCCTATTTCCAATACGACTAATTAAACTGATAAACCTAGTTTGATTTCCCACTCAACTGAGCTAGACGTGGCTCCCTAACATTCATAGCACCCACCTCAAACTGCTTTTGGAGCTTATAAGTGTCTTCTGCATTCCTCAACACCACTCGTTTACAACAGCTTTAGCCGAAGGAAATTCCTACCTCTACAAAACATGTGCTTAAATCACAAAACAGTGAGCCAACGTCCTTGCTTTCCAAAAAAATAAAAAATAAAAAGGGAAACAATAGAAGCTCAAACAAGCCAGGTACCGGGTACCCAGATCCATGTCTTGCACCCGAATATCAGATCCAAATCTGAATTGATAGCGGGATGAGTATCCATGCCAAGCCCCTGATATTAAAAAGAAAACAAATTGATGGATCTCAAGAAAAAATTTAAACATACTCAAGATGAACAACTCGATGTATGGGTGATAAATCACTGCTCCTTTAATAGCTTACATAATTAAACCTAAGAATTTATATGCTAATAATAAACCAATAACCCTCCATCTTACTGTGATTCCCATTTGTGGACTTCTCATCCCTCCCAATTACTTGCTTGCTTCCCAATCTTCTGAAGCACTCTAATGAGTTCCTCCTTCGTCACATTCCCGGTCACCGTTACTTTGTTCAATTGCGTATCTAGGTCGTAGGTTTCAATGTCTGCTATTCAAAAACAAAACCAAGCCCGTTAGTTTAGTATTCAACTCCGCTCAAGTTAATTAGAAAAGTTTTACATATGCATAACTCTTTATAGATTAAATTTGAATTAAATCAGACAAATCTAAATTTAAATCTAAATAATTATATTCATATCTAAATCAGATAGGATCTCTGTCTCCTAAATTATATTTAAATTTGATAAATAATTCAAAATTCGATAAGAAAATTCAATCTGATAAAATAATAATAATCTTTCGCATTTAAATCCCTTAACTTTATTCTATTAATCATATTGATTTCCAAATTTTCTAATTTTCTCAATTTAATCACCACAACTTTATTAATATTATATATAATTATTAATTTAATTTCAAAATATTATTAAAATTTAGATTTAAATTAAATTACTTAATTTTATATCCAATCCATTTATTTCAAGTTACGAATATTAATAATCAGATACAATTTATTAAATATTTTAATCAAATTTGAATACTAAAAATCACATTAAATTCAAATCATATTCGAATTAAAATCTAACTCATTGATGGCTCTGTATACATTTATAAATCATATCTTCTAAAACCATAATAAATCATTGTTTTAATCAATTAATTTATTTATTTACCAAAAAAAAAATTAGCTGGGCGTCAAAGAGGTTGCCAAGATTCATCAGATGTAATCAATGATCAAATTAATTAAGCACACAGTTACCTTCTATTTTCTTAATAGCCTTGAGAATTTTCTTGATACAGCCGGAGCAGTCCAAATCCACCTTCAACTCCACCACCTAATTGGACTTAAAATAAAATAAAAATCTTCCACAAAATAAGTAGAAATAAAAACAAAAACAAAGACTTGGAAGAGTAACCAAGACTTACATTCCCCATTATCTAGCTTGCGGATTGTTAAGGTTTTGCGGAGTTCTGTGGATTGAAGAAGAAGAAGAAGAAGAAGAAGAAAAAGAGGAGGAGGAGGAGGAGGAGGACAGAGAGTGGTTTGATGATTAGGCGTGCGAATGCACTTAAGTAACTGTGCATAGGTGGATCAATTGCAAGGTATTGGATTCTTCTTTTGGTGATAGGAAGCTCCACTTCGTGAAAAAGCTTAGCTTTATTTCTGCCTTTATTGACTTTTTTCGGGGATTAAATTTCAAACAAGTGGACGGTCAGGAATCAGTGAATCACGATCTTTGTCAATATTGGACCCGACAGAGGTGTGGGATTATCGGACTTTTCTTCCTTTGGACCCGGGATTTGGAAAGTAATTTAATTCTTTTTAAAACCCAATTACACCCCAGTTTGGTGGGCACGAGCGCCAGTGCGCCACTGCCATTGCCAAGCTGGTTTTGTTAAAAGTGAAGGGTATTTTAGACTTTCTCAGGCAACATAGGGGTTGGAAGAAAATTATCCAAGTACAATACAGGTTTGACTAAACAAGAGATTTCTGGAGTCTGGACTCCTCTCCCTTTCTTGAAAAATAAAAAATAAAAAATAAAAATGACATCTGTGGGCTGCCATAACTGGGCCTTTTCTTTGGTAGTGGGCTGGCCGTGCAGGCCTATTCTGGAATTTTAAACTAAAGAGGCCCGTTTAAAGGACATTTCAGATAACAGAACAGAGATTGAATATCAACCTTCTGGCCCAATACTCATCTCACATTTTTCGCTAGAGAACCCGTGCCACAAAAAATTTTCAGCGAGATGACCCTTCTCCTCGAGGATGGGTGGAACTAAACACAGAACGGACATCTAATGCTAATATGAGGCAGATCAGATGTGGGGCTTTTTTACGTATCATGAAGGTGATTGGATTAAGTGTTTAAAAAAAAATAATTTTTTTAATTTTTTAAAATTTTAATTCAAAAACAAGAACTATAAATTTTATATTTTATATTTTTAAAGTGAAATGAATAATATATTAATTTTTAATTAAATGAATAATTCAAAAAGATGAAATTGGGTTATTTTCATCTTTTATTTAACAAAGTTGTTGAGTAACTAATAGTTAAATAAGTAAGCATTTTTTAAGATAAAAATTAAATTAAGTATCAATTAGTAAATTTGACAAGTAAATAAAATAATATTTTTATGAAAAATATAACAATGATATTCAGCTTGTGCACATCATTTTCAAATATATATTTAAAAAAAAATTGACGTAATAAATGTTGACAAGTCGACAAAATATATACCTAAAAGGTTGCAAATTTGACTCATGAGAGGTATAAGGATAATTTTATACTTCTAATTTCAAAGCGCAATTATTAATAATTACCCACCCACTGTCTTATTTGTTTAGTGACATTGTCATGCAATTATCTTCAAATAAATTAAAATTGACACAATATAAATTATTTTTCTGATGTCGGATGATTTAAATTTGTTTTTAAATATTTAAAATTTAAATATTTAATGAGAATATATAAATCAAATTAAATATATTAAAATATATATATATATATATATATATATTTAGAAACAAAGATAAGACCTGGTTAGAAAAGATGTTCGAGAAAGCATATCAAAATACGTCAACCATCCTCTCAAATCAAAATTCTGCTTTTCAAAATTGGCCATTATAAGAAGGAAAAAGAAGGCGATGAGTCACCGCAGCACTTTAATTATTTCACTCCACCACCCCACTGAAAAGAGATTAAGTAATAATGGTCCTTTATTAGATTTTCTACAAGTATGAGGTGTTTGATTAGATTTTTAAATTTTCTTTTTTGCAGGAATTACTATTAGTTTTATGACATATTTAAATTAATATTAATCTTATAGTCCACAGTTCAGGATTTGATTGAATTCAGTCAAATTTAGAATTCAAAATTCTATTTTTACTATTTAAATAAACAAATAAAAAATTAGATTTTGATTCCATAGATTTGATCAAAATTTACCCAACTTGTCCGGATCCCTGAAACTGATAATTTTTAATGGGATTTCGACTTTAAAAAGTTATTTTCTAATTTAACTCCTCTCTTAACTTTTTTTATTTAGTTAAAAAAATAAAATATAATAAATAATAGAATCATGAAAAATTTTATTTCATATTTCAAATATAATAAATGATCAGTTAACATGTAATGTAAGTGTAAGACAATTAAACTATATCTTATACCGTTGATTTTATTAAAATCAACAAATGAGATTAATATCTGTTGATTTTGATCAAATCAACAGTGAAGATGTGGTGTAATTGTTTTAAACTTACACTTGGTGTTAGTTAATCATTTTCATTCAAAAATTGCTCAATATAGATCACATGCATATATAATTTATTTTCTTTAATTGATTTGGATTTTTAATTTTTTCTCTTGCTTTATTTTCACATTTATATCCATCATCAATCAGTTTACTCTTAAATTAAATATTTTTATTTAATTTATTTTTTTCAATTTATAGTTGCTATTGACCATGCATAGGAGAGATTGACATTATTATCTACTCTGATAAATCTTTTATAAGAGCAATTGTTTTAAAAGGTATAATAGTAAAAATTTTATTTTTAATTTCAAAAATAATTTTTTTCCAAACTTCAAATAGTATTTTGCAAGTATCATATTTTATTTTTTTGCCAAATACTAAAATAGGATTTTGATTTGAAATTCATAGAATTCTAAATTCAATTCCAAATCCAAATCTCATTCTTTTTTTTTTTGGCCAAATATAGGATTAATGATTTAATTACATAAAAAATAAAAAAAAATCTGATTATATTCTTATTACTTAAACTGTGAGGGCTTAATGGTTATAGCTCAGGTCACATCCCAATTGCTATTAAGAGGTCGCATTATTAGCACGCATGGGGTCTTCTTCCCATGATAAGCCTTTTTATCCACACGAAAATGAAATTTAATTTAGATGTAAATTATTTATAAATTAAAATATTAATTTCTTATTCTCTCTTTTTAAGACTTTGACCTTTAGTATACCATAAAATTATTTATACATATGTTTATAGTTAATTTAACTCGTTTAATTTACCAAGCACTAGAATTTTTTTTAAAAAAAAATAAGTGACATTGTGGAAAGTAGGGAGAAGTTTCTTTTTATTTTAATGAATTTAAACCCTTAAAATCTTTTATATTATTATATTAAATTTTAAATTTATTTATTTTTAACTGGGTGGTTTAAAAGTTCAAAGTCCTAATTTAAATTATATATATATAAATTGAATTGAGAGTTAAAAGAAAAGAGTCCTTCTGTTGTTGTTTGGAATTATTTCTATAAAATTAAAAATTGTAGTTTAAAATATAAGTGAGTGAAAGTGGATTAAAAGTAAAAATTGGATCCATTTGCAAAATATGTAAAAAGAGTGGGAAAAGTAGTAAAATAAATGTTAGAAACACAACATATGTAATTTTGGATTTGAGGAATAATTTTGAATATAGAAAAATTAAGGACAAAATATTTTAAAATTAATTTTTTAATTGTAATAATACCATTTTAAAAAAACTTCATCTATTATACTTTTTAAATCAGTTTTTAATTTTATTATTTTTATTTGAATGAAGATAATGGGATATGATAAACAGATTTTCAAAGATTTTATGGGTACATGTAGATATTGGGAAGTGTAAAGGTAAGCAGACACCACCTTATCACTAATGGATGCTGATCAAGGAATAAGGTATTCAGAATAAGGAATCTGTGGTCCGATGTTCCCACCGTGGAGAGCATAATAGCATATGCCCGCTGATTTACCTTACTTTCCACCATTTCCAGGTATTGCTTGTCACTGTTAACTGGTAAGCAGCCAAATTGGCTACTCAAATAACAGGAATAAGTTTTATTCGAGGAATCGAACCATACGTGAGAACTTAGGTAAAAATGATATATTAATATTACATGCCGGAATATAATTGGAATTTGGAGATTCTCCAAATTGATATTCCACTGCATCCGTTTCGACAAGACTGAAATTGGACGAAGGGAGTGTTTGGTTGGTGAATGTTCGGGGGTTGCATTCTTTTTAATTAGAAATATTGTTATATAAAAATTCTCGTAATATTTTATTTGTTGGATAAATATACAACAAATTTTTTTTTATGTGCGTCAAAATATTTTACTTTTATTATACAGATTTATATATATTATCACCTTCAAATCATAAAGTAACCATCAAATATTATTAGGCGAAATGGGGCTTTAAAAAAACAAAAATATATTACAGGAATTTAAAAAATGCAGTAGAGAAAATAAAGAAAAAAAATTGGGCTCAAGAAATTCTCTAATTATTCTGTATTTATGTTTTTCTGTCATTCTAAATTATAAAATTTTCCTTTTGTAAGTAAGTGAAATGAAGTTAAATTTTTACAAAAATATATAAGCAAGTGACTTGTTTGATATCAGGTTTGGAAAAACAATCTTATTTAAACCCAACAATTTTATTTAAAAAACTTACATCAAATCTTATACTGTTAATTTTGTTAAAATCAACAAATGATATTAATTAAAAAAATATAACTGCAAATTAGTTATTGAAAGTTATTGGAAAATAACTATAATTAATCTTATTCGTTAATTTTGACAAATCAACAATGTAAAATTTAGTATTTTTTACACTTACACTAGTGTCAATTGGTTATTTCTTACTTAAACCCAAAAATTGAACCTTAGATTTAAGAAATTGAATTTCTGAAAAAACTCATATTTAATTTGGGATTAAATTAGATATTTAAATCTAATTTTTGGGGTTTAAAGTGTAATTATTCTTGAAATTTCCATTCCCTAGACCAATTTAATTCAAATAAAATTTTTGAGGGTTTTTAATATTTTTATTTATTATTATAACAATTTGAACTTGTGTATTTTTTGTATTATATTTTTATTAAAATAATGAGTTTGTAAGTTTTTTTCTAAAAATAATCACAATATATTTCATCCTAAAATTCAAAAAAATGTTAAATTAAATTATATAATAAAATTAAACATTTTTTATAATATCATTAAAAAAAATATTAATAATTTATATATTTATATTTATATAAGTTATTAACAATATTAATCTAATTATTGACATTCTATATTAGGAGAATGTCAATAATTAGATTTTAAATATTGTTAAATTCATGTAACATATTATTGTTTTGAAAATGGCTAGAACTCAGAAGAAGGAGGGATATTATATGCATTATTTTTTTTTAAAGCGCCATTTTACCTAATAAATATGTGATAGGTACCTTATGATTTAAAGGTAATAATATATATAAATCTGTATAATAAAAAAAAAATATTTTTACGTACACAAAAAAGGGACGTATATTTATCCAACAATTAAAATATTATAAGAATTTTTATTTAACAATATTTTAAATTATTTAAAATTATGATATTAATCACTCGTTTGACTATTTTTAGTTAAAATTCTAACAAAAATAACACAAAAACAGATAACTTAGGCAGGCAAAAAATTAAATTTTCATATAGAAATTGGAAACTGTTAATAAATAATTCTTCCAACCAAGCAATTTAAGTTTTAATTTTTTTGAAATTTTCTTTTCCAAATTAACCTCGGCAAAAGCAAAGTTGAATTGTACTTGGTTTCCTTTGAAAATGAAGCCGGCCTTGTCCCAATGTCAAGACAGCCAAACCACCAACCAACCAAACGCGACTTTAGCTAGCAGCTGTTAGCATGAAAAGGATGCTTGATAATTTTTGTAAAATATACCCATAAAATGTGAATAAATATTTTTAGATAAATGAAAAATGAATTCATAACTATAGAATTGGGTCTGTGGTCCAAAATCAACCTTCATTCGATAACATGACTGTGGAGGCTGATGTTTCTGGAGGTTAGCGGAGCACGGGGAAGGCAACACGGAAGGCTGTCAGCTTCTGATGTCAAATCAAAATAATATAGACTGTGTGGGACCTTTCCCAATTTTAATTTTATTTGAAATTGGAGTTAGAAATTATTGACTTCTCTTTGTTTGTTTGAATATAATAAAAATAATTAATTATTATAAATATTAAAAATTAATTCAGTAAGTTAAAATTTTAAATAAAGATTGTTAATTAGTTAAATTTTAATAGAAATCTAATTTAAATTTAATCTAAATAAAATATTTGATGAATCTAATTTAATAATAAATAACTCATAATTCAAAATAAATAGATTTAATATAAATTAAGTAGTTTAATTTTATTTAAAAAAATTAAATTAATAATGTTATATATAAATATTAATCAATTTAAACTTATAAAAAAATCAAAAATTTAAAAATTAATATGATTGATTAAATAAAATTAAAATATTAAAATATAAAAAATATCAATTTTGTGTTAAATCAAATTTTAAATTATTCATTGAATTTAAACATAATTTAATATATATTATGTAACGACCCGAGACTACTGGCCCGATCAACTTGTTGAGCCTGAACCACTAGTCCAAAATATTTAAGTTCAAATTATTCAGTGGTAGTCTCTAATTTCTTATAAGTTCAGTATATCTCTCGTGTTTTGTAGATGTGAGATTTGTCTAAGGGTGTCACACACACCCCCTCTCTTTAAACTCAGCGATGACTTTTTCTTTGGAGTGTCATATATACCCTCATTTAGAACTTAGCGTTCTCGCTGAGATTTACCCGACCACTGTTCAATGTTGCACGCAGAGTAGTTTTGATACTATTTGTAACAACCAAAGACTACTGGCTCTAACAATTTATTGAGTTTAACCACTAACTCAAAATACTTAATCTCAAATTCTTCGGTATTAGTTTTTAGTATCTTATAAACTCAGAATCTATTCCATGTTTTGTCGATATGAGATTTACTTAAGAGTATCACACACACCCTCTCTGCTTAGACTCAACGAGGACTCATTATTTAGAATGCCACATATTATAAAATTTTAGATTATATTATAATATAAAATTAAATAATTAAATTTTATTTAATTTAATTCAAATTTTATACTTTTAAAAACTATCTAAAATTTATTAAATCAATACTAAATATTAAGACCAGCACCACCAAATATCAAGGTTCTAACGCTAAATAAATTTTATTACAACGAACTCCCGAAGTTCTAAGTTGGGTTTCGCGTGCAACTCGTTTGGTGTGTGGGGTTACATTCGATGCTCTGAGCACCCGGGCTCTGACTACTCAGACAGAAGCCTGTCTGTAGAATCACAGCCTCGCATATAGACAGTCCTTATCGGCTCCCAGCTTAAAGGACGCTCTTCAAAAATAAATAAATTTACAAATTTTGCAAAATTTATTATCTTATGACCAGTTCACTTCTTTCAAGTCTTGGATGCTTGGACTTGATTGATATTCTTCAAATTAAAATAGGGAGTTTTCGTATTTGTTGAATAATCTTGACAACGTTATCGTACTTTCCACATTAGATGACGTATTAGTCTGGACCCTGCCTTATCTCTTGTCATGTCTTGGTTTTTTAAAGTAAACGAAAAAAGGAAATTACAGAAAGAAGTAAAAGGCAAAATTTCACTTTTAGTCCTGTAAGTATGGCTACAAGACACATTTAGTCCAATAAGTTTTAGTTATCCATATTTAGTCCTATAACTATTCAATTTTCACATTTGGTCCTGCTATAACTTGATCATCAATTTGTACCGGCAATAGCACCAGCTTGCATACGTGTCAAGGGCTTAAACAAAAAAAAAGGAAATCCAAAAGAGTAAAAAAATAATATAAATTCAATTAGATTAAAGAAAACAAATTAAATTTAAATTCCATTTTATAACACTTTCTAACAAAACAAAATATATTCCCTTTAAAAATAAAAAAATAAAATCTATATGATTTTATAATTTCAAAAAATATATTAAAAATATATAAATATAACCAAATAAGTATTCAAATAAAACCATAAAAAGAAAATTATCTGCTCTTTCAATATATATATAAATATATAATCTTTATTTTTTACTCTTTCAACACATATATGAAGAGATAAAATTTCTGTTTTCTAAAATATATTAAAGTGAAATTCTTGAAAAAATAAAAAATAATGGATAAAATAGACGTTAGATAAAATAACAAATACCATTCATGCTAAAAATTTTAGCTTAAAGTAAAAAATAATATTACAATCAATTATTATTATACTAAATTATTTTTCTAATTTATTATATCTCATTAATATTTTTTATTAAGTTGAAGAAAAATATACAACAGAGTCTCCATGAATTATATTTCTTATTTTTTCAAGAATTCCACTTTAATGTATTTGAAAAAACAAAGATTTACTCTTCATATATGTGTTGAAAGAGCAAAAAATAAAGATTATATATATATATATATATTGAAAGAGCCAAAGATAATTTTTTCTTTATGATTTTATTTAAATACTTATTTGGTTATATTTATATATTTTTAATACATTTTTTGAAGTTATAAAATCATATAGATTTTATTTTTTTATTTTCAAAAGGAATATATTTTGTTTTGTTAGAAAGTGCTATAAAATAAAATTTAAATTTAATTTGTTTTCTTTAATCTAATTGAATTTTTTTTTTTTGGCTCTTTTGGATTTTTTTCTTTTGTTTAAGCCCTTGACACGTATGCAAGTTGGTGCTGTTGCTGGTACAAATTGATGGTCAAGTGATAACAGGACCAAATGTGGAAATTGAACAGTTATAGGACTAAATATGAATAACTAAAATTTATAGGACTAAATGTGTCTTGTAGCTATACTTATAGGACTAAAAGTGGAATTTTGCCAAGTAAAAATTAGGAGAATCGAATCACGCGTCAGAAACTTTATTGCATACTGGCCAAGCCACAGAAGAGAAACATCAGGAAACGACGACGTCGTCATCAGTTCCATCCGACTCAGACACAAAAACACTGACACCCAAACACTCCCTAAAGACCACTAAGACAAACTGCGGAGAAACAAGGATCGACACCACTTGGGCCTCAGCCCATTGCGGTGCAACGGGTTGGTACCCTTTTTATTCTTAGCACACCGAATATATTATCCTAATAGTAATAAACGTGGCAATCCGATCCCCGATCCGGTTTATATCGCCAGGACGAGACCGGGAAACCGATTTCCCGGCTAGCCTGCTCTCCCAGACGGAGGGGCAGTGTGAGGGGCGTGATCGAATTCGAGGAGAAATCGGACGGTGAGGATTTTCCTCTGACGCCGCCGAGGCGGGTGACGGTAAGGGACGTGTTTGAAGTACTCCTCACTTGGGTGATTTATCCCATCTGTGACGGTCCAGGCGTGGACCCAAGAGATCTGACGGCCGTGGTCTCGGCCCTCGGCGAGGACCGTGGATCCCAAGGCGGTGATAGTCACGGGGTTGAACTCAAACAAATCGCTCTCTGACGTGGCAGTGCCGGTGAGAAGGCGCATCATAAACTGGTGGGACGGCGGGCCATGAAACCACCACTCGAGGTCCGGGGCAAGGAGCTTTTGCACCGTGTCAACGTCTCGGGCGCTTAGCGCTGCATAAAGGGCTTGCAACAACCCTCCAATTACTGGACTCCTCCAGACTTTCCTGAGAGTTAGCCAGTGCTTGCAGAAGAAGACTCTAGAAAAAGATAAAGGTTAAGAAAGCGTGTCAGCCGACTTTGGAGAGAGAAGATGATAAACCGAAGATCGGTGATGATACAGATCGGCGACGGAGAGTTATATAGGAAAAGGAAGGGGCACAATGGTCTTTTTACTCTTTAACGTAGCGCTCACAAAGCTGTTCATGGGCTCGCGCCAACCTTTTCTGACCCCGCCCCCGCGGGAGAAGTAGCTTTTCCTTTTTGTGTGAAAATATCAATATATAATATAGCTTTTCTTTTTAGAAAATTCGATTTATTTATGGGAAATAAAATATAAGTTTCTTACGTGTCAGGAAACTCTACATTTTATTTTTTATAAATTAATAAAAAATTATACATTAATTAGGATATAATTTGTAATTATTCAAGAATTACACTTTAAGTGGATTTTAATTGATAAAATATAAGAAAAATATTGAATTTATAAATATGCACGCTTCAGTATTTGATAGATGTATTTTAAAATAGTGAAGGTCTTGACTTAAAACAGATAATTTTTACCAGTATGCTAAGTTATTATAAAATGGTATCAGAATTACTTCACGTGCAATTTTGAACGATGATAGAACAAATTTCAAAACAAAAAAATTGAGTCAAAATAAAGAATGTATGTAACATCTTAGATAAATCCGCATCAAAAAAATACAGAAAAAATGTTGGGCTTATAAATATACACATATCAGTACTTAGTAGATACATTTTAATACCATAAAGACACAAGTCCAAAACAAAAAATATCTACCAGTGAAACTGTATTGTGACATAATTCACTGTTTCCATGAAAATTTTATATCCCTAATTAATTAATCAATTAACTATAAAAAGCTCAACAGCCAATTTTCTCGTAAATTAATAATTAATTTTTATTATTATGATAAATGGGTCCAAAAGTATTAGATGTGTTTTTAGCAAATATGGAACAATGTCTTAAGAGGCGTTTAATATAGCTTGCTCTCCACTTTTGCTTGAATCTCTAGTTTGGTTGGATTTACATCCTGTATGAATATCTAATTAATTGAACTCTTAATTATTAAGTATGGTCTAGTCAGGGGTGAGTACAAAATTGCCAATCTGACTTACCCACTCCGCCCACCCATGCCCACTTATATCCTGCTGATTTATATTAATTTTTACTCCATAACAATTTAAAATTTTGTAACTTGCTTATAATTTAATCAGGCGACGGGTTAAGTTTTAAAATCCAACACCATCCGACTTGCCCGCTATATATATGTACATATAATTTTAATATCACTTATTAAATTTATTTATTATTTTCTAATAATTACAACCATCATTTATTTGTGTTAATCTTATTTCTATTTTTTCTAACTGTACTATTCTTTTTGATTGGATTCAAACCATTCAATATTTTTCAATTACTTTCACTTACAAATGTAAATTCACTACTTAACTCTACATTTTGAAGACCCAACATTCCACAACTTTTACAACTAAAATTCATTTATATTTAATAAAGATAACTTATAATTAATAACCACTTCATTTAATGTTATAACATTTTAATTATTTCAGTTAAATCCTTATATTTTTCATCAAATTACAATTTTAGACATTTAATATATTTTATTAAGATATTGCACTTGCATTTATCTAATAAATGTATTCTATTATCGCATCATACAATCTTAACGCATTTGTTAAGTGTGATAATAGTTAACATTGTTGAATTATTTCAACGATCTTAGATTATTATGATTTCTCACAGTGTGCGGAAAACAAATGCATATGCGAATTTTCTTGTTAAGTCAGGAGTTAGTTGTAATACAATATTTACTACTATGGGGAGCCTCCTCAAATTCCTAACTCATTATTATTATCTGATTTGATTAGAGTTATTTTCATTCGTTAAATTTTTTTAGTCATTTCTTATCTTTTGTACAATAAAAGAAAAGAGAAAATTATAATACATGTCATAGAAAAAAAATGTTTACACGACTAATAAAGTTAATAATCAAAACATCTTTAAATGTTCCAACTTTATAAGGATAAAAATACTTTATTTTTTAGTTAAAAATATAAAAATAAATTATAAATACATAAGTCCAAAAGCTAACGCACATTTCCCATTATTTAAACAGCCAAATTAAAATTAGAAACAAAAAATAGTTAAATAATAATTATTAATAATTGACCATAAAACTAAGGCTATGTCCCCCCCTTCCCAGAGACCTTTTCCCTGGATACAACCATGGGATTGAAGACGACGAACTTCCCAATCCTCGCCGTTGTCCTTCCTATAATAGTTTGTATAAATAAAATGATTCACAATTATAAATAAATTTTATAATAAAATATTCTACTCTATATCATATTTTCCTCTTATTTTTTTTCAGAGAGAGAAAAGAGAGGACAGTTTTCTCAGAATTAGGTCCGAGTTCACCCTTCGGAGGACACGTGGATCCCACTTTGCAATTATTTTATTAAAATTATTGGTCGTAGTACTATGCGCCAAGAAAATTGTAAAATAAAGAAAATGAAAGAATATTTTAAATAATTATATTTGTTTTATTTTTTCTAGAGTGGTTGAAGGAGATAGGAACGATGAGAGTGAAATATGGAGTGGCGGCGTGGGAAATTTGAACATTAGTTTGTCAAATTTTATTAAATTTTTGGAGCTTTTGATTTAAAAAAAAGAAAAAAAATATTGGTTGGTTTTGCTTTGCTCAACAAATGGGAATAGAAAAAGTAAATATTAATTTAATTATTTTAAAAATATTGATACTATGTTATATATTATATATATATTAACATTGATAATATTTTACATTTATTAACTTATAAAATTATTATTTGTCAGTTACAATGGTTATCACATATAATTTTTGTTTAAGTATGAGATTCTTTTTGTCATTATTTGTAAATATAATTTTTTAAATCAAAATATTAATTTTTAAAATATAAAATTAATTTAATTAATTTTATAGTTTTGAAAAAAAAAAATATTTTTAACCAAAAAAAATGACGTCAAATTTTCAAACGAAAGACAACCTTAATAAAAAATAACAAGTGGAATATTAAAATGTGAAA